AATTCGCGAATTTTGACGAATCGAATCGGCCATAGATTCGAGGCCCCGAAACCAAGGTTCGAATTCGATTCGATTCGCCGAAATTCGCGAACTTCGAACAGTTCGAAAATTCGTGCGGAGCGGTAGTTGCGGTATGCTACTGACATATTTCTCAGTTCTTGAGCATTATGATGGTTCGCTAGATTCTAGTGAAAATGGTTCGTCGGATGGCTCTGTTCCGGTGATACGCCGGCCAGGCACGTTGCCTGGTGCCCATCCTCAGTTTGGTTCTTCTGGTCCTTGTGTTCCCTCTAGAAGACGCCCTCCATCAGGCAACACTGACCGGTCACCACCTCACGGGCTCAGACAAGACCCACCGGTGCGGCTGCCAACCAACCCCGAGCCAGTGCAGCCATTCAATCCATTTGTCACTTCCGCAATGCTGCGGACAAACAGTGTTCCATGGCACGTTTCGCCGGCTCAACCAGCTATCCTGACATCGGTCGCTAACATCTGGGCTGGCGTCCAAGACTTGACGCTCAAGGATCTCACCCTGAGCGACGAGGTCGACGAATTCCACTGTGTATTTTGTCTGGACGAGGATGAAGATCTTGCAAATGAAAGTGTGATCTTGCGCTGTCAGTGCAAGGCGCTTTCCCACCTGGCCTGCGCGGAAGAGTGGCTGGAAAAACGAAGTACAGGGTTTGAAACGTCTTGCTGTGTGTGGTAAGTAGGGCTGATTCCAATCATGCAATACCCAAGATGCTGATAAATACAGTCGAAATGAAGGGCCTTTAGACGCCTTGATTCGCCCACTATGGGCCCAATCGTCGGACACCGAGACGCGTCATATCCACAGGGTAAGTGAATCATCTACCGAGGGAGAACTTGCCACTATCAGGAATTTATCACCAAATGACCCGAGTCGGAGTCAGCTGCGACAGCGCTCGGTGGGACCCCAAGGGAGATCAGTCGAGCGGAGTGTGGAGAATGGCCCCCGTCGCTCGGCTAGGCTAGGAGCTCATCTACCACGAGGCCCTTCTACGTCTGCACCACCCCGCCGGTCAGCACGACTAAACTCCACTCGAAGGTGATCTTAGTTTACAGCGGAGGTGTGACGGGAATGAGAAATTAGCGAAGCGACTGTCAATCACGCGTGAAGACACGTGACCAGACGCACCGTATTCGGCCCAGCAACATAGAGCATAGCCGTGGTATGGAGTTTTAGAGCAAGTTTAGAAATGATGCAAATGAAGTTCTGAATGTTCGAACTCGCAGAGCACAAAAACCACGCGACCTTTTCGTCTTTGCAAGTACTAAATGCCAATGCACCCCCAAGAACTGTTGGCAGTTTCGCTTAATTTTGGGATATTTTTTAGACCGAAACCATATTCATACCCAACGGTGGTGGCCAAAGAACTGTAGACATGGATTTATCTCAGTGGTGCGTGTCGCGTCAAGACGGAGACTGTTGGCAGAAGATAACACATCTCGGGCCGGCGAAGGACCCTGGCAAACTACGATGCTGGTTAGATTGACTCTGGGAATCAATATGTTGACCCTGGGAAACTCAAAAGCATTTCTAGGAGCTGTATATCCCCTGGGGAATACACCTTAGCTCCTGGGGCTTTTACCAATCTCCAGGAAAATCAAGATCTACTCCTGGGATCTTGCCTCTACGTTCCTGACTGAATACACACTGGCTCTGGGAACACATTGGTTAGATCTGGGACCTGTTGCGCTCCTAGGACCCTACTTCTGGATCCTAGAGTCAATAGCTTGCCTTCTGAGGTCGCGGAACGCTCTCACAAGACACCCTCACCAGACCTCCGCACAAAGCTGAGACATTCGACCACCCCCAGAAGGCTTGGCTATGGCCCCAGGAACCGCACTTGAGGTTCCGGGAGTGGGTGAAGCTGCCAACAGGAACATGACTTTAATTCCTCGAAGTGGAGGTACAAGACCCCAGAAGCCACGTCAGGTTTCCTGGGGGCTACGTGGCTCCCAGAAGCTGCTTGTATGCTCCCAGAAACGGCACCAAAGTCTCCAGGAGCAAGAGAACTCCCAGGGCCAAGACGTGCGTTCCCGGGGCTGATTGAGATGTCAACAGGAACGTGACTGATTTTGTGAGAGTGGGAATGGAGAGTCTA